CCTTCACAAGGCAAATTGTCATTATCATTGTCTATAATTCTATGAATTCTATAATTCATTGTCATGAATTCTATGAGCTTTGATAATACAATTAATTATGTCTTCCACATCAGGTGATATTTACATTTCTTTCCTTTTGTTTAGTCTAAGCTGTTCCCTCTTTCTCCCTCATAAAATTTTTTTTATATGTTACTCTCAGAAACAAATACTTGAGTTGTTTCAAATATTTCTCACAGGGCTATAGGTGCTGCTATATACATATATTTTAAAAGTAAATTTACTATATTTTGGTCAACTTTACCCACTCTGTTATTTTTTTCTGAATCTTCTTACTGTCTTTTAATTAATTGTCACTGTGTTTCATGATGATATATATCAGGGCCTTGCATGCTTGCTTAGTTTTTTGCTCAAGGCTGGTATTCTATCTCTTGAAAAGAAATGATGTCAGAAAAACAGATTAACTGGAGATCATGATGAGAAGTTTCATCATCATGACCAAGGTAAGACAATCAGAAAGACAAAAATTGCATTTTTTTGCTTCTATGCAGACTTTAGAATAATGATAATTACAACATAATAATATATACTATATATAATATCATCATCCTCATTCTCATCCTCACCATTATCATCCATGATTGCAAAAGAGCAGGTGAGGGTGGGAAGAGGATGGGGGTAAATATGATAAAAATACATTATAGACATATATATTACAATAAAACACACTAACAACTATTCAAAAGTGGGTAAGAGAGGAGCGTGGAGAAAGAGTTTAATGGGGTGAATTTGACCAAAGTACATTATATGTATGTACCTAAATACTACAAAATGTTGCTCTACCACTCGAGCCACATCTCATATTTCTGGCTTTTTGCTGGTAAATTGGAGATAAGAGTCTCTCAGATTTGTCTGCCTAGATTGACTTTGAAACTTTTTTTTTTTTTTTGTCGGTCGTGGGGGCCTGAATTCTGGGCCTGGGCGCTGTCCTTCAGCTCTTCAGCTCAAGGCCATCGTTCTACCACTTGAGCCACAGAGCCACTTCTGGCTTTTTCTGCTTATGTGGTGCTGAGGAATAGAACCCAGGGCCTCATGCATGCAAGGCGAGTACTCTACCTCTGACCCACCTTCCCAGCCGACTTTGAAACTTTGACACTCAGATCCTAGCCTCCAAAGTAGCTAGGTTTACAGGTTTGAGTGCTTGGTGCCCAGTTCATTTCTTCCTCTTTCTCTTTTCTTTTCTTCCTCCCTCCTTCCCTTTCTCCCTCCTTCCCTCCTTTTCTCCTTCCCTCCTCTCCTCCTTCCTTCCTTCCCTCCTTCCTTCCTTCCCTCCTTCCTTCCTTCCTCCCTCCCTTCCTTCTTTCCTTCCTTCCTTCCTTCCTCCCTTCTCCTTCCTTCCTTCTTTCCCTTTCCTTCCTTCCTTCCTTCCTTCCTTCCTTCCTTCCTT